AAATTAAAATTTACAATTTTCGCATAAAAAGACAACAGGAAATTAATTCTGGCCTGACTCACTTACTTGTCCCCAGCGGAGTCGCCAAACTGTCGTAACCGTCTTTCGGTTGGGGCCCCGGAATTGGGCTTCGACTTGGATTAAATGGGTTGGAGTCGCCACCGATCATTTATTTTAAAACAAATGGGTTGATCGGATACCCTATTTCTTACCTGATCTGCGTTGTACCAAAAACATGTCGGGTTCGGGAGTCGATTTACGGTCAATGAAGGATTAGCACCCTTGAACCGCCCTTTCGGTACCAATTAATTTATCGGTTGTCTTTAATTGCGAAAATTAGAATTTAAATTAAAATTAAAATTATTCAATCCGAATTACTTACCATTTGATCGGCTGAAATCACGACTGAAACAAAATATGTTAGATAAAAAGCGAAAACAAAATGCTAATAAATAAAAAATGAATAAAATATATAAATAATAATAATAATAATGAAAGAAAGAAATAATTAAAAAAATAATAAAAGGTTAAGTTTAAAAAATATTTAAAAGTAAAATAAAAAAAATAAAGATAAAACTTAGGATCAAATTGGAACAAATTGAGCTTAATGAATTAGAAAATGAACTGCAAAAGAACAAATAAAAAGTTAGGGGACCAATTCACAGAATATAAAAAAAATATAAATAGGGACCAAATTGATTAAATCAGAAATATGGAGGCAAATTTACAGGTAGTGACCAAATTGAACTGCGACTCAAAATGATAGGGACTGCGGAGAGGATTTAAGAATCCTTTATTTGCACACTGGTCTCTCGTATATAAATGCCCAAACACACCTTTTCTCAGCTCATTTTCAACATTTCCTCACAGATTCATCTCTCTCTCAAACGAGAGAAGGCTCTGAACCAGCCCTTCCTCGGGCGATATCCGACCACCGTCTGGTGGCCCACTCAGCCGCACCGCCGTCGCTCCGGCTGCCGCTTGTGGCGGCCGAGAAACCCACACTCACCTAGAAGCATCCTATCGTCACCCCAAAGCCGAATCTATCCTCAAAACCGCCAAAGAGCCACTAGATCGGAGTAAATCTAAGGCGAAAGGCTTTACATTTTCGTCGTTATTTCACCGTTTCACAGTGACTGCTGGTTTTTCCTTTTGTCTTGCTTACTGTATAGGTTTTCTTGGATTTTTCTACTGTGAGGCTTCGGCCTTTGGTTTTATATTTTTGTTGTGTATGGTTTCGTTTGTTCTCAGTTTCGTCTGTGTGGGTAGTGACCGATGGTTCTGTTATTTGTTGTTTCGGCTTTGCGTGTTTTGGTACTGAAATGTTCTCTCTCGATGATGGTTTCTGGTTGTCTCGACCTTGCTTGTTGGTTGGCTTTGAATGTTTTGTTTGGATTTCTTGTTGTACGTGATCTTTCTGTGGGTTCTCCGTTTGGGTCTTGTTGAGGATGGTCTGTTGTGGTTTACTGCTGACCGGTCGTTCTCGTTTCTGGTGGTCGGTGTGGTGGTACCTCGGTGTCCCCCCTTTCGCATGGCCTCACCGGGGTATTTATAACCCCTCGGTGAAGGCTGTTTCCGATGATAACGAGGTCGTTCCCCTCAACGTTCACGTGGTCGGGATTCTCGGGATGGTGCAGTCCCGATTTTCCCGGCCGGTCGGTTCGGGCTTGACGTTTGGTTGCCCCCCTTGTGCGCCGCCTGTGACATGTATGACTAGGGTTTCCAGACCCTGAACCGTATCTTCTGCTGGGCTGGTTCAGGCCCAGTGTTTGGACCGGACTTGGACCATATTGGACCCAAAACAAATCTTTGACTTGGACCCTACAAAAAGCATAAATAATAATAAGAAATAAAATAAAATAAAAATAATAATAATACTATATATATATATATATTCAAAAATATGTAATATATAAATTTCCAAAATGCTTTTAAAAACTATATATTATACATGTTTTTAAAAACGTTTTAAAAACTTTATAATATATATTTTCAGAAACGGTTTAAAAATTATATATTATATATATTTTTAAAATATTTTTCAAAAATTATATAATATTTAAATGTTTTAAAAAAATTCAAAACTATATATTATATAAGTTTTCAAAAATGATTTTAAAAAACTATATATTATATATATTTTCTAAAATGTTTTAAAAACTATATACTATGTAGTTTTCAAAAAATATTTTTAAAACTATATATTATGTACATTTTCAAAATGTTTTCAAAAATTATGTATATTATAAGTATTTTCAAAGACCGTTTGCAAAGTAAATAATATATATATAGATATATATATATAATAAAAAAATAAAAAATGGACGAAAATGAGTGTCTACACTAAATAAATATTTTTGACTGGTTGATTAAGATGTTCATCTTTATTCCCTTATATTTTCTTAGATCATGAGTTTTAAATCTACTAGGAACACTACATTTCTTTTCTTAGAATCCCCGAGTTATGATTAAATTTAGAACTTAAAAAAACTGTTGATTTTTGGACTTTCTTACGTCTTGAATAACGTGGAATAAAGTTGGAAATATGTTGACAAAATGAATATTATTTTTATTTTCTTTTCCAAGGTAAAATATGGAGGCCGACTTTAGGTGAAGACCGCCGTGGAGAAGAGCATGTTGCGGCGAAACAAATGATCAGCTGCGACCGCTCTCATAAAGAATATGATCTTTGCTCAATCAACGGCGCAACCATCGTGGACCCCGTCACCTCTTCGTTCTTTCTCATAAACCCCACCGTATCTGGCTCAAGATCCATTGTAGAAAAAATCAAGCCCTACCCAAGGAAATGGGAGAGTTTTCCGATGAAAAGAATCAAACCACTAAGTATCACTTCAGCCCCATCAACCCCAAAATGTGATGTCCGACATAATTCTCCGGCCATTGTTTTCGCCGCGGGAGGGTACACGGGAAACGTTTTCCATGATTTCAATGACGGCTTTATCCCACTCTTCCTCACCATCGATTCCCTCTACAAAAACCAAGGCGTCATCCTTGTGGTCTCCAAGGCTCGTGATTGGTGGATTAACAGGTACAAGAATTTGCTCCATGTATTCACCTCACACCCAATAGTAAACCTCGACAATGATACTTCCACTCACTGTTTCCCTTCCGCCACTCTTGGCCTCATATCATATGTTTCATGACACTAATGCCAAACCCCTCACAAACATTACTTCAATTCCATGCCGTCCTAGACGAGGCATTTACTCACCACGCATACTCCACCTTTAACCATCCTCGAAAACACGGCTCTCGACCTCGACTCGCGTTTCTAAGCCGACCGAGAGGCATCGGACGAGAAATCTTAAACCAAGACGAAGTAATCCAAATAATAAAAGAAGTTGGTTTTGACGTCGTTTTGTTTCAACCAACAGGTATGACTCCGTTACAACAAATTTTTGCATTGTTAAATTCAAGTCATGCAATGATTGGTATTCACGGAGCGGCTCTGACACACCCATTGTTTCTCCGGCCGGGGTCGTTGTTCATGCAAGTGATGCCGTTAGGGACGAATTGGGTGGGGAAGATGTGCTACGGTGAACCGGCTAGGGCAATGGGGATAGAGTACATTGAATATAAGATCAATGTAAAAGAGAGTAGCTTGGTGGAGAAGTATGACCAGGATGACATGGTGATTAAAGATCCGGGTAGTTTTCAACGGGGAAATTGGTCGTCCGATGTTATGAGTATATATTTGAAGGAACAAAACGTTAAACTCGATTTGGTTAGGTTTAGGGAATATTTAAATCAAATTTATAGAAAAGCAAAGGTATTTATGGACAAAATGGGATAGTGCTAAACAATCATTTTATCCGGATATTTATTTTAATAATTATAAATATTTTGATGAAAGTCTTCGAATGAAATTAGAATTATTTTACAATATGGATTTGTGTACTTTTTATTTCTTTTTTTCATCAATTAAATCAACTTAAAAATAGTTATTCAAAAATATAATAGAAAAAGACGCTTATTTTAATTTCCAAGAGATTTTCTATAATGGCTAATGATAGACCTATTACTAATTTACTATTAATTAGCAACATATATGGAGTATATTACTTTCATTTATGCTAGATCCCCACTATGGTGGAGTTGGACAATATTTTTAATAGATTAATTAATTAATTAATTAATTAATTATATAACAGTTAATGTTTTAAAATAATAACTAATGATTCTTTTCATTTATGGAATTAAATTTATAATAATTATTTTGGATTAACTCTGATTATTTTTAGATAATTTGAAGTGATTATAAATAATCTTTCTTGGATAATCTATATTCTTTAATATTAGTTGTTAGTCTCATTGAAACGCGAAAATATCCAAAATTATAATAAGATTTTATAATAAATTAAATATATAATTTGAACATTTTATTATAATATTGAAACTAGTCACTTTAGATCATATAAGGATCATATATGAAAAAGGTTAAAAGTCCAACCAAAAGACTTGAATAAAAATACATACAAATAAATCAGATTGCATCGACAAACAAATCACAAAAGGGGAATGCTATTGAAAGACTACCAAGAATCACAAATCAAAACCGAGTGTCGTGAGGAACTATTGAACGCAAAATCGCATATCCAAATTCAATCCAAATGTCCATGATAGGAAAGATCAACATGGTTACAAATAAGCGTCATCTTGATTAGTTGTGATGTCGTTAAATCTAACCCTGAGAAAACATAAAAATAAAAAGAACGGCCAAACACTAAGAAGGAATACAAATCTTAAATATATTATTTAGAAAAGTAAAATATATTTTATAAACAGTTCAAATGTAAAGTCTAAATCCACTGGATATTCAAAATCTATTTATTTGAATATTTATTAATTCAATTCAACGATGCCAAATTGAGGTGCTCAATTTCCCAAAGAAATATTACGTGTTTGCGGACGCTATTAAGTTAAAGAGAGTAGGTCCATAATTGATAATATTCACATAATATATAATCTATTTCCTTATCAAGTCACAAGAATCTATGTTATATCCACCACACAACCAAGAAAGCAGATACAGCTTTCCTTCAGACCCACTGACAATGGAGAAAGATCACAAACCAAGCAACGCCGAGCTCCTCTCTAGCGCTAAGTTGGTGGCCGACGCGGCGAAGTCCGCACTCAACAACAAAAGAGACAAGGTCGAGAAGGGGAAGGTTGCGGGGGCCGCTGCTGATCTTTTGGGTGCAGCCCAAGACTATGGCAAGCTGGATAAGAATACGGACGTCGGCCAATATGTTGAGAAGGCTGAGAGTTACCTGCACAAGTACCAGACTTCCCATCAATCGGCTCCGGCCACTGAGCCAGAGACACATGCAACCGGTGACAGTGAAAAAGGGAAAGGGTCTGCCGGAGGTGTTGGGGATTACATGAAGATGGCTCAAGGTTTCTTCGGCAAATAAAATTATACAACTTGTTCTTGCATGATAAACTTTGCTTTCACGTGTATGTGTAATATGCAGTGCTAATCCCAATCTGTGTGATATTTTTATTTAAGTTATTGCGAAACCTATTGTTGCTCAATTCAGGTATTCTTTCACGTTTTTATGCAAATTGATTTGTGATAAGAATCAAATATTTTGTGCGTCACTTCACTCTACATTTTTAATTTTTAATTTCTAGATATTAATAATTTAATATTAAACATATTTTTAAAAATAAAAAATTCACAAACGTGAACATTTTAATATTCAAGGTACACAATAGAAAGAAGGGTGAACTACGTATTAGTGATTCAATTATCACTTTAGCCACTTAACTTGTCAAAAATTTAACGGTGATACTAATGTATCACCATAAGATAATCTTATGTCATCATTAAAAAATATATAAAAAATCATGTCAACAATTTTATTTATTTTTTGATGACAGATGATTAAAACGGAACTAAAACTTAACACTAAGTATGATTTTGAAAAAAAAATGAATAATTATATTACTCTTTAGAAATTTCAAGTTTCCTTACATTTTTAGATTTTTTTTGTATTTTCAATTGATTATTTAACTTTGCATCTCTTAAAATTTTATAATTCCGCACCCAATAAAATTTTAATATAAACTTTTAAATTCATATCCTCTTACATAAATTTTCGCGTCATTCATTGATCTTATATTCGAGCAACTACATATATTGAATATATAGAATGTGTATGTTGTTGATTATTCTTTTTTGAACAATACTACATTATCCAAACTATTAAAAAAATTATTTTCCAAAATATTATAGTACTAGACAAAAATTTAACTTAATTAGGAGAAAATGATATTGTAAAAAAGTAGATGTTGAAATAAATCGGGCAAAGTAAATGAAAGAACACAAGAATTTTAACGAGGTTCGACAATGTACTTACGTCCTCGGTGCCTAGGCGGCGCTAGAAAATTTCATTCAATTCTCTTAGGTTTAGGTTACATCTCTATTTATAATAGAAAACACTGGTATATAATTACAAAATTAACCATGTACCGTACCGCGGGGCCGTAGCCCCCGCACCCCCAACCCACATAATCGTAACCCCTCTACGAGACTTTCTTTATAAGGACAGTTGATGTTCGCTGCGTTCGCTCACTCCGCTCCATCCCCTGTCCTCTTTACCGGTATATTTATGAGCCATACCTTACAGTAGAATTAAAATATAATAGCATTAATTAGGAAATTAAGAAAGTTTTTACTGTAATTGACCAAATAAATTGTCCTCATTTATCTGTAACAAATATAACTTTGTTTTTCTTTTTGCATTTTAAGATTAACTTAAAAAATTATATGTATAGAGACTATTTTTACATAAAAAAAATAAATTTTTGGATTACTACCGTAATTTATCAAAATTATCTTTATCCACCAGTAACTTAACCAATTATTATAAAAACTTGCCTAAAAATATTTGATACAGCTGTCCGTATACTATTGGTTTTGATCCTTGAAATATAGGGTCTGAATGTTCTTCTCTCTAAGCTCGTTTTACTTTAGCTTTTATCATTCCTCTGCAAAACTGATTGCAGCTATGTTTCTACATTTTATATTTGTTAATATGGTGGAGATGCTGCAGCCTCACGGCAGTTTCACTCCTTCTGCTACAATGGAACTTCATTGAAAACAATTCCAAGGTCATCTAACCATACTATTTCAGAATCCAATCTTTTTCTTATGTTTTCCCCTTCTTTACATTTACTGTGATTTAATTCATGTGATTATTGCATGATTCTGCCGAATCTAAAAGTAAAAGAATAAGGAATTGGAATGTATTTGAATTTGAACAATTGTATTCAATCTTCTAAAATCATTTTCCGTTTTTTTTTATTTTGATTTTCAGGTTTGTTAGGTTGGAAAAGGTCCCTGATTTTCTCGTCTAAGTAGTTAAGAGTTAATTGCATTTACAATTTATTGCTATTGGTGTTATTTTCTTTTATTGTTCTGCCAAGATGTGGAGTTTTGCTTGTAATACCATTGAAAGCATTGGGTTAAAGAGTTCAGAAAAGGTGAGTCAAGCTTGTTCCGAATGTTCAGATGATGAGTTGTGTTCAAATGGTGGTAAAGATGAAGGGTTAGATTGTCCAATTTGTTGGGAATCTTTCAACATTGTTGAGAATGTGCCTTATGTCTTATGGTGTGGTCACACTCTTTGCAAAAATTGTGTCATGGGTCTCCAACCTACCGTTTTGAAACTCCACACTCAGCAAATCAAGATCCCCGTATTCATTTCTTGCCCATGGTACCAATTGCTATCACTACGACTGGTTTGTAAGGGGATCCTCAAGTTTCCTCGGAAGAATTTCTTCATTTTGTGGATGATCGAGAGCTTGAATGGGGATAGGTATGGCATTGACAGGAGAAATCTGCCTGGGGAAAATCAATTGGTTGGCTCTTCAAGGTGTAATTTAGTGCTAGGAAATCAAGCTAATTATGGTGTTGTTAAGAGAAGGCCATATGCTAATCGTTCTGAACAAATCAGGTATCTAGATAATGGTGGAAGAAATAGTGCAGAGAGGTGTCATTTCTCACTTCTTAAATCATTGGATTTCTTCATTCACTTTACGTCCAAGTTCCCTTTGGTCATCATTTTACTTCTGGCCGTCTTCTTTGCAATACCGGGAAGTGCTGTTATCCTATTACTCTATTTGCTGGTGACAGTTGTTTTTGCCATTCCGTCTTTCTTGGTACTGTACTTTGCATTTCCTATGTTGGAAAAGTTGGTGAGAGAAATCACCTCATGAAATGTTGCTTTCCCACTTCAAGGTGTATGAGATATATGGTTCCAAGTGAACTCATCTCTTGGTGTAATCTGGCGTCATCCTTCTTTCTATGCTCTCACTCCACTCCTTTTACTTGAAATTTAGTGGCTCAATTTCTGGTAGTGGAATTTTTTTAGTATCCTGAAGCTCTCAGATTAATGTATTGTTTTTCATGATGGACTGTGACCTTAAAACATCTCAAAAGCTTGTTTTGGCTATAATGGTTATGCCCTTCATCAGTTGTCATTGAAATGACACCTTACCGGTTGTACAAGCTTGAGTTCTCAAAAGAATATAATTTGCAGTTAATTGTGTTGGTTATTTCGTTCTCTTTATTGTTTATGGACAATTCACTTTATATTGTTGCTAACAATTCAATGGTCAGATAAATGGTTTTCCGGTTACCTAATCTTTTAGCCCTTGAAGATTATTCCAAGAACTCATTGAACATTTTTTTCATTTTGGTGTATGGCTTTACTTCCTAGTATACTTTAACTGTTTTTCTAATATATCAGAATGCACAAATGATATTGTTTTTGGTTAACTTGGCCTCATATCTACTACTTATCTCTGATGAATTATTGAAATAATGCTTGCTGCATTAACCTTAAAGATCACTGCTAGTTATCATTTTATTCTTTTTCATCATATAGGAGATTTTTTTCATCTACCAAATGATAAATTCAACATAGAAACGTTGTGGTTCAAATTCAGTAAGGATGCTTACAATATTGTTTATCTTCTGGTGATGGTTTAATGTTATAACATGCACAATCTAAAGCCTTGGTAGGATATAGTTAACTAAAGTTTCAAACTCTCGGCATGTTCTTGTTATTCTCAAGTGATACTACTTTCTTGTTACTCATGAATTAAGGTGGGAAGTGTTCAGATGGTTGTTGGTTTGGACAGTTTAGCGGGGTTTATATATATATATACTTTTAGATTTATAATTTCCGCAAAAAATGTTGGATTTTCAATCATGCTTCTGCAGCAATTGAAGTTTGGGTTATATTGTCGTCTTTGAGAGTATTCAAATTCCTTCATGATCATTTGCATTGTAAACTTATTATTAGAGCAGCAGGGTATTGTCCAATACACCGGCTAGGTTTTTCTGCATCAGTTGCTAAAGTGCTTCATATATGATCATAATAAATATCAGTTGTCAGAAATATTAGTAAAGCTACACAAGGTTCTTGAGGAAACTTCCTGATTGAAACAAGTGCTAAATGATTCAAATTATGGTGTGTCGACTTGTGATTGTCATCCTTTAGTTAGTCGCAGCATCGTGTAAATGATCTTTACAAATGCTAACTTCAAACTCATGATGCTACATTAGCAGTTAAATTTGACAGCAGAAGCATGTCACTGGAAGCTCTCCCGTTGTTCTAATTATATTTGCCTTTCCCTTTGCTTTAAGCTCGTCATTTCTTTGCCTTGCCTTTGCCTCTGCTCTTGCTCCATCTGCAACTTCTTTGATGTATTCCATTTCATTCCTAAATTTTGCCAGTGCCTTTGCTCTCTTTTTCTCCAATTCGCTCTTCTGCTCGAAGAAATAAGCTATTTGTTTGGAAGAATTAGTTCAAATTTGAAAAAAAAGGAAAAAAAATCTTACCTCTTCTTTTTCCAGCTTGCTTCTAGCCTTTTTCTTTTCTTCCCAGGCAGCTATGGTTTCATTTAACTTCACATACCTGTAATTTATTGTTAGTAAAGAAGAAGATATGCTATTATTTTCTTGATAAAATGAAAGATGGACTTTTTCTCTTCTTCTAATGTTGCCTTTGTATTTGTTATTTCAATGTAGTTAAGTCGGTTTCCGGCTTTAATGTATTGCCACAACTGAATAGTACCAAACAATTAGTACTTCTAAGCTTCAATGTGTTATTACCGTTCTTTGATCTTAGCCATCTAAGCCTTCTCCCAAGCATCTCCTTTTGCCTGCTCTGACCCTGCCCTTACTCCACTTTGTCTTTCAGCTTCTGTCACTGGAGCCACAGGCTTAATAGTAGGAGGCGGTTCAGGTCTTGTTGCTGGAATTTCTGGTTTCATGATAAGATTGTCTGGTTTTGACGCTGCACTTTCTGGTTGACTGTAAAGTGTTTCAGGTTTCTGGGAACTTCCGAGTTGTGTGCGACTAGAGCTGCCCATTTGATCGGAAAAACTAAGAGGTCTTTTAAATGAGTCCTGAATTCACTTCCTAATTATTATATGTCAATGTTCAAAATGCCAGTGGTTGTGAGGAAGAATCTGGAATTAATTATGGCCAACTTCTTGTGGGGTTCTTCGGCTGAGAAGAAAAGGTTTCATTGGGTTAACTGGAATGTTGTTTGTAAAAATAAAGAGTTGGGGGTTTGGCAATTTCGGATCTTAAGCTTCGGAATAGAGCTTTATTGGGCAAATGGGTTTGGAAGTTTGGTTCGGAGAAGGACTCTTGGTGGAAGACAATGATATGTTTCAAGTATAATGTGGGAACGAGTTCTATTGTTTTAGATGATAATTTGCCATCTAATGTGTCTTGGATTTGGAAAGGTGTTGTAAATAACTGTCGGACTAATTACTCATTTGGGTTATGCATTCGAAATAATGTTGTGCTTCAGGTGGGAAAAGGAGATTCAATTAGATTTTGGCATGATTCATGGATTTCTAACTATTCCTTGAAGTCTATGTTTCCAAGGATTTTTGCACTGTCAGATAATAAGGAAGGGGTTGTGGCTGATTTCGGGTGTATGTCTAATGAGGAGTGGGTGTGGGATTTATAACTTAGGAGGAACTTAATGGACAGTGAGTTTGATCAGTGGATGGAAATGATGGTATTGTTGGATAATTTTAAACTTCTGTTGAAGGGTGAAGATCGCTTGGCATGGAAAGGTAGTGGGGATGGTGTGTACTCGGTTCAATCTTGCTCTAGATTAGCTTCAAGTTTGTCAGAATCAGATAATTCATGGTTGGAGATAGTGTGGAAGGGTTTTGTCCCACCAAAAGTGGAGATTTTCATTTGGCAAATTATTCATCAGAAGTTGGCTGTTAAAACTGTCTTAATGAGAAGAGGAGTCAGAAATATTGAATCCCCTTTATGTGTGTTATGTGGAGTGGAACCAGAATCGGTTAGGCATTTATTTTTTTCTTGCGTCCAGGTTTGGCAGATTTGGGTCGAACTCCTCCGTATGTGGAAAGTTAATTCAGTTCTCCCTAATAATCCGAAAGGCTTCTTGCTTTCTTGGCCGCAATTAAGACCAAACTCGTGTATTTGGAGATTTATTCCAGGAGCTGTTTTGTGGTCTGTCTGGCTGTGTAGGAACCAGATTGTATTTAAGAAAGGCAGGGTTGAACTCCTCCGTATGTGGAAAGTTAATTCAGTTCTCTCTACAATTCGAAAGGCTTCTTGCTTTCTTGGCCGCAATTAAGACCAAACTCATGTATTTGGAGATTTATTCCAGGAGCTGTTTTGTGGTTTGTCTGGCTGTGTAGGAACCATATTGTATTTAAGAAAGGCAAGTTGGATAGTGCTAATCTGTTTTTTTTTTTTGTGAGGTATAGGGTGGCTTCATGGTTTTTAGCTAAAAACAATGATGTGTCTATCCAAGTGGACAGCCTTGTGGGAGATCTTACTTTGGCAGATTTGCATAAGGCACCCTCTAACTTTAGATCCTCAAGAGTAAAATGGTGCCCTCCACCTACAGGTTATTTTAAGATGAATGTTGATGGGGCTGTTAATTTTGATTGGAGAAGAAGTGGTATTGGTGGAGTTCTTAAAGATGCCGATAAGAACAAGTTGGTTTCTTTTTCTAGAGCACTAGGACCTTGTTCTCCTATTCTTGTTGAGATATTTGCTATCAAAGTGTGGTTAGAAGTGTTTTTTGTGTCAGTTTGGAGGGACAAAGGAATTCTGATTTTGGAAAGTGACTCGTTTCTTGCTGTGAAGTGGATCAACAGCCCGGAATTTTTCCCGGTTCACCTTGTTGATTTGATTACAGAAATCCAGAAGACAGTTGTGCAGTCTAATGTTATAATTAAGCATATCAGCAGATGTACTAATGTGGAAGTTGATTGTCTAGCTAAGTCAGGAATTGGTTAGTGAGTGAGGAGGAGGTTGTTATGAGTAGTGGTTATGGTGTATTATTTTGGTTATGGTTCTATGTTAGGTAATTTTATGTATTGTTTGGAATCTTATGTAATTATGGGTTATTAATAAATTTAGGCACTCTTTTCCTCCTTCCGCTAGTTGTCTCTTTACAAGAGGCAACTATGAGGGAGGTTTTTAATGAGGCCTTCTATTCCTATAAAAAAGATGATGGCACACGTCTATGGTCCTTTTGATATGCAGCATTGATTATTGGCACTTTGCTGTCTGCTCTTTCTGAAACTTTCACCTGTTAATTTCTTTCGGTTAAGCGGCGTCAAGCAGAATTCTTAATACTTTGTTACATGAATATCTGGATGCCTTGAACCTTTACCTAAAAATTGTTTGGATACAGTAACAGGTTTTGACATTGAAGATGTTGCATCTCCCTTTTTGCTCTTGTCCTTCATCAAAGAGGGTTCAAGACGAGTACTGGTCTTTTTCTGGTCATGGATGCTTGGTTCTCTGATCGAGTTAATTACATATGTGACAGCTGCAACACCAACTACTTTCTCTGGTTTATGGTTTGAATCACAATTCCAACTCGTCATTACGACACCAGTTCTGTATTCTCCGCAAAATCCAAAATTAAGCTCTGTTATTGCAGATTCAAATTTGTCTTCCTCCCCGAGATGGTGATGTAGGATGAATGTAATTCTCAAGTTCAACTTAGAGCAATGAAAAGGTAATGGATTTTATATGAAGATATAAAATGTTTCTATATTCAGCTTTTGATTATCCGGGATTGAACATTTGAAAGGAAGTGCATATATGAGAAGTCATTAATATGAATAAGTCAGAATTTAGAGAATATGGATCATTAATGCATCAAAATGTATATAAATATCGATTATGGTAAATGAAGCTTACATAAATTGTATGATAATAAACTAACCTCTTTTGAAAGATTAAGCTTTCTAATACTGCTGAACTTATATGGATAAACTAAAATGAAATAAGACGTTTCATCTCAGTTTGATTTAAAGAGAACACAAAAGCCAAAACTTCATAGTGGGCTAGATTATAGAATTGTTACCTATATATGTGAGTAATCTGCTGGGTGGGTGAAATTCCAGATTTCTGGCAAGTTCTTCATCAGTTGTTTCAGGTGAAAGAGAAACAGAAATAAGGTAGGTGCTTTATAAATGCAAACACAAAGGAAGAATTGGAGGGGTTGGTGTTGTTCATAGGCAAGCAAGATTAGGTTATGCATTGCTTTATTTGCATGCAAAAGTGGGGTTTGGATATTCTTAAACTTGTCCGCTCTTCAGTCTACCACAAGGTACGTATTCTTTCTCTTCAGGCTTCTGGGTTTTTAAATTACTACATATTTCAACCAACTTTCCCTAAAGTTTTGACAAGATTCTTGTTTTTGCATCTTCACATAGCTTTTCCTTCCAACGTAAAGAGATATTTCATACTTGTTGGGCATACATAATTAAAGGGTCAACTACATACATGGTCACTAATGTTTGAGTAAGTTTCTCTTTTCCCCATTCATGTTTCAAAATGAACGATTTGGTCACTAACGTTATCGTCCCTGTTAACCGGGTGTGACGGAATGTTGATGTGGTGCATTAACGCAGCTGAGCTGCAGATGATCATGCGTGCAAAGACTTCCTCATCTCTCTCCACTTGCCGAGGTGTTTGATTACACAGTGGAGCAGAAACCTAGCAAGGCGAAATACTACGTGGAAGACCGGAGTGAGATTTTGAGAATGTTGCAGGCTCTAGCCAATACTTCTGAGCAGGCTGCAAAAACAACTCCCAAGTCCGACCTTGGCTTCTCGCAGTGTGATTATCGACAGGGTGATCCGCTTGATGGGAGTGAAAGAGCGGAAAATGGAACAGTAAACACCCTGGCTGCTCTAGCAATTGGCTTTTGGCCTCTATATAAATCATCAGTGCTTAGGCATTCTGGGTTTTATAGTCTTCACTCTTCTTCCATTACTGCATCCTAGGCTTGATGTCGTTTCATTGTGGACGTGTGTGAGAAATTTGGGAACTTGGATATTGCTAAAAAGCTGTTTGACGAAATGCAGCAAAGAGATGTTAGCTGGAATGTTATGATTTCTGGGCTGGAAATGCATTGAAGTGAAGAAAGTGCAATTCACCTGTTTAGGAAAATGGAGAAAGATGGAGTCAGCCCTGATGACATTACGTTTATAGCTCTTTTTAGCGCTTGTAGTTATTCTGGTAATGCATTTGCAGGTGTAAGGATACTCGATAGAATGCGTAAACCTACTCATCCAGGGTGGGCTCTTTGAAGAAGCTAATCAAATAATTCAAAGCACGACAGATTCAAGCAATCCCTAAATTGAGCCTAAAAGTGAACATTTTGGGTGCATAAACCTACTCATCCAGGGTGGGCTCTTTGAAGAAGCTAATCAAATAATTCAAAGCACGACAGATTCAAGCAATCCCTCTGATGAAACCATTGACTGGAGAGCATTGTTGACTTTGAACTGTAATAGTGGACAGACCAAACTGGCTGAGGTTGCCGCTGAGAAGATCATAACGCTGTTTACCCTTTGCTCTCGAATCTATATGCATCCTCCGGGAAACATTATGATGTTAAAAGAATAAAACAGATGATGAAAAGCCAAGGAGTGAATAAGTCACCGGGTTGCAGCTCTCTCAAGATCAATGGGGAAGTTCACGAGTTCATTGCTGGGAGAGAAGCCACATACAAATGGAGGAAATACACTTAATTTTGGAAAAGTTGGACAAGCAATTACATTATAAAGGTTCCAGCCCTTATTCATAGCTGCAGTTACTGTTGTGGGGAGATATGCCTACAGCCAAGTGGTGGTGCGAATGAAGAGTCTCGTGATCAGCACTGATTAAAGAATCTATACAGAACCGCCCCCAGATTTTTATGGATCCTTAGTGGGTGCTCTTGGTAAGAGTTATGCACCTTAGCTCTGAAT